GAGCAAGAGGATATGGATACCAAGGTATTCCAGGTCTCGATCTCTAGTCAGGGGTTGATACCTGGGCTCCTCAACGAATATTAGGTTTGTTACCGAGTCCTTATCACTGTTCGGAGAACGGCTTGGCACCCACTATCAAAAAAGCTACAAGTGCCTCCACTTCAACAAAAGTGATCTTAATATCGGTCTTGCACAATGCTTGTCCTTGATGACGACAGTTTTAAAAGACAACAGAAAGTAATGTGACCATTAAGGCTGAGTCAGGAGTGTATCCCCTGTCTGACGAGAAAGAGGGCATGTATATTATACGGCCTTTAGTTTCTGGTTAATTTTTAGGACAGCCAGACGGAAAGTATTTATATTTCTAGTGGGCCCAATGCCAATACGTCTGTAAATGTCGTAAAGCCCATACTCTCAAGACAGGAGGAAATCGATATAGAAGGAAGACAGAGTGGCGTCTCCGCTGAGCTCTCCTAACACAAGAGCGCCAAACCCAAGGATATGTGCCCTTGAAAGGCATGTCCGCGAGCAAAAAACTGCCATATGTCAATGTGGATACAACAAAACTTATTGATAAGGGTCTACAGCTTATCAGGACAAACCTGAAGTTGGCTACTAAGTTCGGGAAGACATATCCTGATACCACACAATGCGAACTCTTGAGGTTTCAAAAATACGACGACTGCGAAAACCCCTGTACATCGGGAAGGTTGGTGTCGAAGGAGACTGTAACAAAGAAGTAGTAGAAGTAGCTGGTGAAGTATCAGCTATCTGACGTCAAGATGGGACAACAGTGTTCCTGACTACTGCAGACCATGTGGGGATGAAGAAGAGGTAGACACGATCAAACAGGTACTTCGCACATGTCCCATATTATCCAATAAAGACATAAACTAATTGGTAGGTGGGCGATAAAAACTCTAAGGTCTTTCTCAGACATGGATCCCATCATAATTTACAAATTTGTCAAAGCCATTCCCTGACTAGGCAGGCGACCTAGCTTCACTTCTCTCTATAATTATTTTCTTCTCGCTCCTATTCGAAACTTCAAAAATAAGGTCATGGCGATAAAGGGTCTTTATATACATTATGATTCCTATATTTGCTAGTTCCTAAATAAATATGGATTGGAAATATTTTTGTCCCAGCTCAATTGGTAAAAATTATCTAAGAAAGGGGTTTAAATTATTCAGAAAAAGTCAATATTGAAAAAATTTTATTTTCATTTCTAAATATCATCGATCTTTTTAGTCGATTTAATCTTGTGGAGGTCCATCAGAAAAATTTATAGTCATTCTAAACCCAATATCCTGCGAAGTAAAAAAAAAAACTATAATATGTTTTTGGGGCCATTCAAGTCGAATTAATTTCATCCATGTTTCTTAGACTTAAGGACCTTAATATTATATACAAGCAAAGATATAAAAGGTTAACACAGTGCAACATTAATTTTAAGAATTTTAGCAACTCAACAGTAATATGAATAGGCACAAAAAGGAGAATAGAATTTTAAAAATTATTAACATTAATATTTTTTTATGTAAATAAAAAAAAACAAATAAATTCGATATCGGTAATTTGTTGCAATTCATTCAAGTCGCGATCTTCATATATTTGTTGCACTGTGTTTTACAGCTGTTTCTACTTTTATTTATTAATTTATTTTTTGGCAAGCGTTGTTTTTTTTTCTCCTTTGTTTTACAAAGAAGTCGCTGAGGCTTGATCTATAACTTGATCTACAAACATATATTTTTGTTAGGATTTCAGCACTATCGAAGTTATTTTGTTGTTCTTATTGTAGTTGTTGTTTGGCTTTTAAGCATTACTAACTGTCCGCTAAAGTGTAGGTCCAATAAAATTGTTGGCTGTGTGCGTGTATATTTTGTAATATAATACAAGTTTGGTTCCCATGTGTAGATACTATAAGCATAAATTGTAAGAAAACATCTACACTGAAAAATGAATATTCCTAGCTTTCTTTCATTCTCAAATAAGCCGAAAGGACTTTTCCCAAGATTTTATATATGTATTTTGCCTGATTTTTCAATATACAAAGTTTGGTCAAAATTTGAATTCATTGCTTTAACTAAAGAACGCAACTTATGCTGAAGTTTAACTCATAACAAAATAATATTTGAATCAAAATTTGTCGTATATATACATGAATATTGGTTAGATCCTCATCGGTGTTTAACAGCATTTCAGAATCTGCACAACTTTTGCACAAAGATATCGTAAAATCATTTTAAATATAGACTGCGTTTTCATAGAACAAAGAACCACTGCCTTTTAGGCTCAAAAATCTACTTGTAAATTTTGGAAAACACGTCAAACTGGGTTTGTCGCATTTTACATTCATAGCCGAAAAAGAGGTATTTTCAGAGAATATTATCAAATTATGATTGGATGTTAAATACAATTCTATCATGAAATTGACCCGACTCCGTTATTTTCTTCCCAAAATGGAGAGCTAAACTTACAGTCCTTGTTAATATGACACAGTGTTAACACAATATATCATGGGTTCGATGTTATGGCTAAATATCTTATGTATTCCCCTTTACATAGCCAGTAGTTTCCATTTTTAGTTAAATATCTTCTCTTTAAGATAAAATTGCATATTATCAAAGGATCCAGAGAGCCTACATTTGCTTAGTGCAGACTGTGAAAAAGTGTGTTCTTGGGCTAAAACCTTGCCTACAACTCGCCATGGAGCCTACATCCGCTTGGCACGGACCCTAGGGAGAAATCCTTCTTAGTCTGAAGATTTTGCCCACAACTCTCCTTGGGTCCTACGTTCACACAGCTCGGATCGCTTTTCCAAGTCATTTCTCTACAACCCTCTCTGGGTACTCTATCAGCCCGTGTTGCCTTTAGAGATTTTCTGGAAGCATATGTGCTTCCAGCCATCTCAGGGCATTGCGACTTTGTTTGCATATTCACACTCTGGTTTGAACCTTGTTCGTATATACCGGCGATTTATCTTCACATATTTTACAAACTAACTCCTCCTCTTTATACGTATCTTTTCTGATGTTTCTTTCTTTACGGTTTGTGTCGGGAATCCGTGTGAGAAGAGAGAGAGAGAGAGTCACATCTTTTATGGATTTTGGAAATGTTAAACAAATCCTCATTCATGGAAAATTTTTGAATTAAGGTAATCACAAATCGTGCTTCCTGTTGGTAAAAAAATTCTTTATTCAGGTTATCGTTCTGCTCGTCATTAGAGAAAGAACTATTAACAGAAAATTCGATGGTTGATTGATATACAGTCAACAAAAATCGGGTTCGATGTTTCGGATCGATTTTTTCTGAGCATCTACATCTATGGATTTTGGAAATGTAAAAAAACCTTATTCATGGAAAATTTTTGAATTAAGGTATACACAAATTGATATACAGTCAACAAGAATCGGGTTCGAGGTTTCGGATCGATTTTTGTTTTTTGGTTTTGTAAGCAGATGTTGGGATGGATTTTTCCTTATTTCCATCAGTTTTTTTCGAATGAGTAGAAAATAAACCAGTAAGGAAAAGTCAAAGGTCGGTCGGGGCCGACTATGTGAAACCCTACATCACTATGCATATTTATTAGAGCTCCCGTAACAAAAGAATTTATCTAAAGTAGACACCCTATCTACTTTTGGGTATAGAGCAGTTACAGTATGGTTTCAGAGGGAACTAATATATGGGAGGCATATCCAATTCTGAATCGACTTTCAATAAATTTGACGGAGACATTTCAATCTTTTATACCAAATATATAATATATGTATATATATATATATATATATATATATATATATATATATATATATATATATATAGCTGTAGCTATATCTGAATCGATTTACTCCAAATTTGATGTACTTGCTTCTAGACTGAATTCGGTCAGATGTACCGAAATTCAGGTCATTAGGACTTATATTGGCCATTTGATGCACAATTAACCCGAAATCGGTTAAAGATATATGGGAGCTATATCTCCCTGTTTCAAGCAAATGCACAAAGACAAACCAGTAAAAAAAGTCCTAAAGTCGGGCGGGCCGACTTTATGATGAGAATTCAATCATACACGTTATGATTATAATTATAATTTAAAGTTCAAAGGACTTAATATGCCGAAGCATTTGATACAAAATTAATTTAAAATCGTATAAAAATATATATGGGAGCTATATCCAAATCTAAACCGATCTCGATAAAATTTGGGAAAGAAATTTCTGAGCTGTATTTGATATATTACCCTGAATATCGTTGTTACGGAGTGCATATTACGGCTGTGGGTAACAAATACAATAAATCGGATGAACAATGTATATGGGAGCTACAGCTATATCTGAACCGATCTTCACCAAATTTGGCATACTACCGTCTAGGCTCAATTCGGTTGAATGCGCCAAATTTGGTGCACAATAAAAGGTAAATCGGACGAAGTTATATATGTGAGCTATATCCAAATCTGAACCGATCTCGATAAAATTTAGCAAATGTATTTCTGACCTGTATTTGATATATTTCCTCAAATATTGTTGTTTCAGAGTGCATATTACGGCTGCGGAGTACAAAAATAACAAATCGGATGAACAATATATATGGGAGCTATAGCTATATCTGAACCGATTTCGATCAAATTTGGCATACTCATTTTTAGGACTAAATTGGTTGCATATGCAAAATTCCATACTATTCGGGCTGATATTACACGTTTGGTGCACAATACAAGGCAAATCGGACGAAGATATATATGGGAGCTATATCTAAATTTTTACCGATCATCTCCAATTTCAATAGGGTTCGTCCTTGTGCCAAACAAATGATTTGTGCAAATTTTCATCTGGATAGGCCAATAAATGCGAACTGTACTTTGTTTACAAAAATACATGGACAGATGGACAGACAGACGGACATGCATAAATCGACTCAGAATGTGATTCTGTGCAGATCATCAAAAGGATCTATGGGCCTATCTCGTTTCCTTTTGCCTGTTACAAACGAATAGGATCGATATCATGTGCGATTCTGAAATACTGTGTCCTTAGCCTTATTTAAGAAAAATCTTATTTATTAATCTGAATTTCAAAATCTTAATTGCCTTTAATTTTGGGGTCTTCTTTCAACTTTTTAAAATTTTGTTTTCCTTTTCAGAATCCTTCAAGGTTGATTGAATAATACCCTAACCTAAGTTAAACTTGTTCCTTCCTTTCTTCTCTGCATAATAATTGCGAAACCTTATAAAAAAAAACGGTTCGGGACAATATGACCCAATATCTCAACACATACTTCCACGAATTTATATAAAACCTTCTCAAATCGTTTATAAACATGAAACCTAAGTGCTGAGCCCTAGCTCATTTAAAAGATAAACCTTTACAAGTTTTTTTTTTATCTACGTCCAACAACTTCTGTTCAGATTTCTTCTAAAACTTCTCTCGTTAACTCAAAGGGTGTCTCATCACCTAGATTTTCTAAAATCTTGCCTATTTGTCGTCTTTTCTTTGCTTTGCCTTTGTGTGTGAGTTTTTTTTTCAATATCTTTTGAAATCCTCCATACAAACTCCTGGAAAAAATATCTGTGCAGTTTAATCTTTTTTGTTTAGAAAATGTAAAACATAATGCAATACCAAGTCATAGCAGTATTTGTATTCGGTCATATTCTCTACCAGATGCGGACGATTACGTCTAACCGTTTTGACAGCCTGAAAAACATCCACTTCACCATGTTGTATGACCTGTTCGATACAAGCATTAGCGGCACAGTACACGCCGCAACGGCTACGACCATCGGGTGATACAACACATACTGGGCCATAATCGGTTTTGGCGCGCCACAATTCGACCATGTTCATCAGGTAGACCAGCGAATTGGTCGATGTGGGCACCTTATGGCCCATGGGCCAACACGTCAATTGGAAGAGCTGTACAGTGCGTGTTGGTGCCTTAACGCCGGCCATCATTTCGGTCAATGAGACGATTTTTTTGTTTATCTTGAATTCCCATTGTTTGATGTTGGTGTAACTGCGTGCAGCGGAATAGTGTACGGAGAAGACGGGACCGTACTTCTCCATTTTGGATTTGATGGGCCAGAATGAGGGGAAGGTTTGGGAATTGGCGGGGGGTTGGCACAGCACTACCACCGCTGAGCATTCGGTATCGTAAACCAGGGACCAAAACTCACCCAGCGTATGCTTCATGGGCCATTCGGTGACGATGTACTCACGCGGCTTGGTATAGCCATCCACGTAGACGGCATTGATGTAATCTGTAAAGGCGTTACCTTGAAACGATGTCAGATAGGGACGGAAGTTGTCGGGCGGTACACACAGGACATCACGATTCTTCTCGCGATTGTCGGCTCGATGGCCACCGGCACAGTCGCCGATGGTGAAGCGTGGCGTCTGCTTGCAGATTTTGTCGTATTCCATTTGGTATTCGTTCATTTTGGCCTGGGAGTTGCGTCGTGCCTTGGCCTTTAGGCGATCGGATAGTTCGGAGACGGGAAACCAGGTTTTGCCGCATACGATGTGTTCCTCCAGTGTGTCGTAGATGAATTTGTATTGATCGACATTTTCCACAAGGCCTTTGCGTGACTGCCTCAGTTTCTTTTGATAGCCATAGATGTTGAAACATTCCTCCTCTTCGTGGAGCTCCAGATTGGCATCGATCGATACGAATACCCCCGAACGACCACCACCATCACCACAGTGGACCAACATGGGACCTCGTGTGTCTTTGTCTTTTATAATATTGCCGACGACCAGGCGAACTCGGCGACGAAACTCCAGCAGGGCATTCGAAAAGGGGCAACAGTGGGAATACCATTCGGTGTAGTGGAACTGCAGCAGCAGCCGATCCTCCACAATTTCCGATCTATTGGCCTCGTTGACCTTGTAGAGGCGGAAGTGGCGTATATGGAAATTGGCCAGTTGTTCCTCCTTGATGATGCTGATATTGATGTCGCCATAGGTTTCGTGTACCTCACGGTTGGGCGGCCAGTATTGGACACACATGACCTTGGCAAAGTCGAAAGTCTTGGTGAGCATAATAATGGCGCTGACATTCTCCTGCCACACCATGCGCCAAAAGGCATTCACCGTGTCCTCCACCGGACCCTGGGTAACAATGTAGGCATTGGGTTTCAGCAAACTATCGACATACGAAGCATTCACGTAATCGGAATCCGGCTCACCTTCGACCTTCTTCAGCACCACCCGATTGTAGTCGTAGGGAATGCACTTGGGATTTTGATTCTTGCCATGATTGCTCTTCTTCATGGCATAGCGACAGGTGTTTGTCTCGACCTTGGCAGCTGTTTGAAATTCCAATTTATAGAGGACGGGGAATTTCCGACGTAGCTCACACATTTTTATGAACTGTTGCGTATCAATGGGGTGGGTGGGCATGGTCTTCGACAGGGAATTGTTTTCATCGCGGGCCTCCAATTTGATTTTCTCGAACGAGAGCAGGCCACTGTTCAGCATGCTCAGTTTCAGGGTACTCGGTATGGAGAGCAGGGATCGGCGAGGCTGTTTGGGTTCAGCGACGGCATGGCGGGGTGAAGACTTTGAGCGCCGCTGTTTCTGCGGTGACGGTTTTCGTGACTCAACGGCACTTGCACTTGTGATACTGCCCCGGGTGCTGTTGACTTTGCCATTGCCGTTTGGCATTGCTGCCAAGGCTGCTGCATCTCTGGAAGTGGAGGCTCGTGGATTTTCATCGGTCTCTGACATATTGACAATGTCGTCAGCGTCAGCGTGGTGGTGGTATGGTGTTGTTGTTGCTGTTGCTTGTGTCGTTCGCCTTAGCTCTGTGGGACTTTTACGTGGCGTTGTTGTTGTGGTTGCGGTCAGTTGTGTTGTGGTCGTTGAATTCGAGGTGGCTAATGACGAATGGGAGGGGGAGAAGCGTTTCACTTTGCCATGACGTAGGTGAAGGAATTTGGTAAATTTCTTATAGATTTTATGCCTGGTATTGTGTTTGACGGCCAGCTCAAATATTTAGATGTTTTGTTCGGACGCTTGTGTGTTGTTATGATTCAGATTATCTAAGTGAAAATACGAACGCACACACACACATGAACACATAGACTCAGATATAAATATGTGTGTATGGCGGCTCTCTGTAAATTTGTTGAGATACTTCTGCCGATGACACTTGGTCTGTTGTGTTTGTTTTGTTGTAAGTTTTCTTGTTGTAGTTGTTGTTGGAGGATTTTGCAAAACAAGTAGTTGTTTTTATTTCTCACTCACTCACTCGCTCACGCACCGTTTCGTTAAGAAAAAAATGTCAATTTATTTTTCATGTTTTCTTGAAAATTTTCACCAGCTGCCAACACGGGAGAAAGTAAAAAACCGACTGACTAACGTAGTCTCTTTGCGGCCAGAGCAATGGGTGTTCTCGAATGGCTGGCTATTGTTTTTGTTCTTTAGCTCCTCTCATCATCTAACATTTGCAGGTTGTTTTTCGCTTTGCTTCCTCTTTATACACTACACTTTTCACTGTTTTCTTTTTCAATCTCTCTCTCTTATGGAAATTCAATAAAACACTCTCTTTCGCACTTTTTTTCAAAATCAGCTGTTTTTGTTATGATTTTTTTGTTATTGTTTTATTTTTATATGTTAGGTATTACAGTGGGCTCGTTTGTATTTTCTTTCGTTATTTGTTTAGTACATATTAAATGTTGTTATTTTAAAATACGCTTTTTCTTTATTTTATTTTTTTGACGGACGTCGTTTTATGAAGACGGTGTGTGATTCGTGGAATTTTGTTGTAGAAATTTCGGAGAATATTATTGTCTGTTATTGATTTGCTTGGGATTGAACCTTAGGCTAAATGAAATCCAAGGTATGGTATCGATAATCCTATAAAACCCATAATAACTTCTTTTAAATAGGATAATTCAATGGAAATACATTTTTGGTCATGACAAGTGTTGTAAAAAGGTTCAAGTCCATGGCACAATAATAGGATGCAGAATAAGGCTTAACTCTAGATTAGTCAAAACTTTCGGATTTTTTTTGCATTTTTTTCCAGAGACATTTGCACCCTGATTCCGGGAAAGTATTTTTTTCTTGGGGGATGGACCCAGATACCCGAATATTTGACCCGAAAGTCCGGGTATAAACCCCGGGTTAGATCCTACTAAACCGACATGTACAATATAAGTATCATTTGAAAGTGGGCTTCTAATTACAGTGTCAACAATCATTTGGTATACATTTTGTGGACTCCGAAAATGAGGCCTTTTTATGACTTTTGGGGATTTTTTAATCCTCAGCCATATTGGTAGTTATACCCTCAGCCATATGGCTGAGGGTTTATGATATGATATATACCCTCTATATCATATCAATTGGGGTCGATCTAGTGATGTCCGTCCGTCTTTCTGGCTGACTGGTGCGCACGATAACTCTCGAAGGGAGTATCCGATTTGGTCCAAACTTGGTACATCGTAATATTTTTGTCAAACTTAGATCGAGTTCGGAGATGGGCATTATCGGTCCACTCCTTCTGGTACATCCCCCACAAAAAGTCGAAATTTAAAAAAAATGTATTTTCTGCACAGAAAGAGAAACGATAATCAACTTTGCAAATCCTAATATTATACAATATAGGTCCACTCCATCAAATACCTCCCCCACAAAAGGTCGAAATTTTGAATATTCATTAAACTCATAAAACGCGAAATTATCATCCGATTCCATTTAGACTTGGCACATCTGAATAGTTCTATCAACGCAGGATCTGTTATAAGGTAGAGAGCGGACCATTCCTTCAGAATAACCAAAATATTTATAAAATCTGAAATAAGCATCCGACTCTCTTCATATTTCACACATCCTATTATTTCTACAAACCCAAGGTCTTGTGTGAAGATGGGATATATCGGTCCACTGCTTCTTGTACCTTCTCCACAGGGTAACAATTTTAAGTACCCATGAAGCACATAAAACAGGAAATCAACATTCTTTTCTATTCAGACTTGGTACATCTGAATATTTTCGTCAACATAAGAAATGCTATAAAGATGGTAGAGGTCAGACGATTTCTTCTGGTACCTCCCCTACATAGGGATCAAGATATTGAAAACCAAAACGCTCAGAGAAAGCGAAGTAAGCTTTAACTCGCTCTTTAAATTTTACACCCACAAATATTTTGGCATACACAAGATCTATTGAGAAGCTGATATATATATGCGAACCCGTTTTAGTACCTCAGTCACAAAGGTCCACAATTTTCGATACTTTAATCTGTCGTAACTTGCGAAACAAGACAAGAATCCTGAGATGAATATGGAATTTATCGGAATTTTTGATTTCTCATAAAATTAGATAAAAATGTTCGACTTTCTTGTAATTTTGCCCATACCAATATTTTTATTGGCATGAAAATTGAATACTCCGGTCGACTATATTTGGTACCTCACGCACATTTTCTAAAAATTCTCACATATCTCACAGAAAGCGAAGGAAGTAGTCGATATAGTCCAAACCAGGCACGTCGCAATATTTATGTCACAATTATTTAGGTCCTATGCTAAATGGACAATATTAGCCCCTTCAGGCTCAACAGTTAGAGTAATTATAACACAAGTCAAAATATAATTCGGCAATCGAACATACGCTGAGGCTGCATACATCTGTCGGCAAAGTGATACCTGATACTGTCCATGTCGGTTTAGTAGGAATCAGAGTAAAGATGTATACCTCTGAAAAAATCGAAAAAACCGGGAGTGTTTACCAAACTAAAGTTGTTCGAAAATCCCTGACATTTTACATATTTTCAAAAACTTACAATTTAACTCTCCCTAAATATTTCAATTTATCTTCACACACATCAGAAAATTTTGAAAATTTTGATTTAAAGTTATTTTTTGTAATTTAAATTTATATATTGTCTACTTCGTATTTGCCCAACGACGTGCCAGATTTGGACTATACCGACACTTTCTTCCCTTTATGTGGGATTTATGCATATATTTTTTATAGGAAATTTCTAACTTTTTTGGGGAATGTACCAGAAAGAATGGACCGACATATCCCATATCTACATTGCATCTATGTTCGATAGAAAATATTGGGATACACAGAGTTTGAAGCAAATCGTTAACTTTTTTGGCATGTCATGAGACTTACAATTATTCAAAATGTTAACGCTTTACAGCTCTCCCGTAATTAGATGGAGTAGGCCAATAATGACCCCTATTCATTTCAAATCTTGTGTTGGTAAAGATATTGGGTCATGGGATGTTTGAAATAAACGGGATGCTCATTTTGCATTTTTTTCTTGGGATATTCAAAATTATGACTCTTTGTGTGGTAGGCATCAAAATTATCGGCCCTATCTAACACATCTTCACATCTTCATCTTCACACCGGATATGTTGCTGGTAGGAAAATTGGGAGGTGTCTAGTTTAAAAAGAATCGGAGACTCAATTTGCTTTTTAAAAGAGTTATGATTATACATTATTATGGAGTGGTCAGATCTATTCCATCTTCTTGATCTAGAGTTGTTGGAAATATTGAGATATGCAACATTTGAAGACAACCCAAATCTTCTTTCAAAATGTTGACCCTTTGTGAGAATGTGAACCTATATTGCCCATTTCCGAAATCAATCTACGTTTGATAATAATATTAGGACGTAATCGGTTCTATAGTTATTATGCTCACCAGCCAGGCAGGCAGATTGACAGGTGGTCGGGCGGAATACCGCTAGATCGACTCCAAATGCATTTGGTACAAAGAGACCTGGGCATCTAAGACCGTTGTTTGAAATTTTTTTTTGTATCCAAATACATGAAGCTATACATACCAGAAGGAGTGGACCGATGTATTCCACCTTGGCACCATACCTTGGTTTTATAAAATTATTGGGACGTGTGAAATTTGAAGACAATCGAGTTCTTACATCACATTTTATAAGAGTTGTAATTATTAAAAATTTTAACCCTTTTTTGGGGAGGTACTTGATGGAGTGGACCGATATTGTCCATTTTCGCACCTGATGCAAATATTAGGATTTGTAAAGTTGGAGCAAAATCGGATTATCGATTCTCTTTCTGTGCAGAAAATAAATTTTTTGAAAATTTCGACCTTTTGTGGGGGAGGTACAAGAAGGAGTGGACCGATGTTGCTTATCTCCGAACTCGAGCTAAGTTTGATAATAATATTACGATGTACCATGATCCCCTCACTTCGAGAGATATCGAAGTTCCAAAGAGGCCTAAGGTCCATAACCGTAAGTTCGATGAGGCACATTTTGAACGTATCAAATGATATATTCACTCTCTAGCCACAAGGCTGAGCATATAAAAAGAATGTCAAATATTGGGACCGTTTAACCTCGTTGGCTAGATATCCTTTTAAGATTAAAACATATTTTAGGGTATCACAATATAGTCCCAGAAGTTTTATCAATTTATATATATTTTTTGTCACTATTTTCGGTGGTATTTTGTTTTGTTACTATGGCCCCTGTTTTTGAAAAAAATATTTTCAATAAATTATTCCCCGTATTTGTATTAATCATGTTTTTCAAAACATTTTGTTCAGTTATGCTATGCTCTTATAAATAAGTATGTATGATTGTTTTTCATATTTTCCCGGAATTCCCAAGACTTTTTCCCGAATTGTTTGTAAATTGATTGGTGACGTTGTTGTTGTTCTTTTTGAAATTTTGCAAATATTTTGTTAGCTTTTCATTGTTTTCGCCTTGTATTTGTTCTCAGTTTTTTTTTTTTTTTTTTCGTTTACAAATCTTTGTTTATTTCTCCCATAATCTCTCAGTCTATGCCATGCTCCCTGTTTCTGCTGTGACAACACACTCTGACTAGGGGGTGCTCACTGCGCCATCGCCGTGGCTCGTACATCTCATCTGGTCTATTTTTCATTCACCAGGCAGTCAGCGAGCCAGGCACGGACGACAGGCAGGCAGAATGGCAATAGCAACCTCGAAATGTGTAATCGAAAATTCCATGCATCACACCTCGTCTTCGTTGTTCTCGTCATCAAAAGTGAGGAATTTTATTGGATTTTTTTCTTTCGCAGATGATTTCCAATCACAAACTGGCCGTAATCATCGATTGTTTGTTTACAAAAAGAAAATTACAAATTGAATTTTATACTTGTTTTATCACGTTTTTTTCGGGCCCTTAAGACCTCAAATTTAATTGCTTATTATTTTTTTTTTTGTAGGTCATCACCAGAAATTTCGGATTTTTTTATTTGTAAAACTTATTGAACATATCATTTTTCCACAAGCAAATTTACTTTTTTCATTATAGAATTTTCTTGTTTGGTTGCTGGGTTCGACGTTTAGATATTTGGCTATTTATTTCTTTTAGCCATTTATGCACTATATTTAACACAAAAAAATATAAAAAATTCTTGTTCGAGGTATTTTTTTCTGGTATCGTTGTTTGTCTGCGTATTTTTTTCTTTCGTTTTTTTTTTTCGCACTACCACTGCCACTTGCTCTGTCAAATAATGTCTGCTAGGAGGGCAAGTAGAAATGAATGAATTTTTCACATTTTGTGCCACTTTTCTGTTGAATTTTCTTTTAACATGGCATTCGTTCGACGAAAAAGAACAATTTCGAAATCGAAATTTTTTCGTAGTCGTGTGGTTTGAGAAGCATTGCTTGGGTGCGATAATTTTGTATATTGTTATCGTTTCATTGCTGCACAGTGGAAAGGATAAGCCTACGAAATTCCTCTTTCTAGAACAAACCATTTAGATGACATGCACAATACAGGGTGAGATGAAATAACTGCAACCAACTTCAGACTGCTGTCACTCTCGCTATGCCACTTGTCCGACAGCTGTTAAAATTATTCCAGTTATTTATTATATTGTTTACAAGCATATAAAAGCATTTTGGTGACAATTTTCCAGCAAAAAAGTTATTCGTGCTGGAATTCAAGCGTGATAGAGTGATTTCTTTTTATTTGGCTGGAAAACCACAAGTGACTATCGTTAGAGCACTCCAGCAATTAAATATGAACAAGTCTTTTGTGTCCCGTACCATCGCTCGTTACCTTGATACTGGTAGCGTAGCCCGTAGAAGACGGCACCATCAGCAGCATCAGCATGGTTCGAAAAGTAAAGAAGCAACTTGATCTAAAACCGCGTAGCAGTGGCTGAAAAATGAATCATGAGCTGAACATATCGCAATATTCCATTCGGCAAATATTGAAAAATGAGTTCGGGGTAAAGCCATTGAAATTCCAAAAAGTGTAAGAACTTACACCGCAACAGAAAGAAGATAGACTCAAACGATTTAAAGAGTTGCTTCGCCTGGCCGAAAGTGGTGAACTGCCGAATTTGGTTTTCTCCGATGAGAAAACATTCGTTGTCCAGCAGTTTGTAAAAAAAAAAAAAAAAAAAAAGATCGTGTTTATTTGCCAAAGAGGTCAGCTGAAAATGTGCACCTTCGGTTGGCCACCAGAACTCAAGCGCCGTTCATGGTGATGGTGTGGGTCGTCATAACAGCCGATGGTCGCTCTCCGCTCGTATTAATCGACCTTGTCATCAAAATAAATGCGGAATATTATCGCGAAAATATTCTGGAGTTTGTATTAAAGCCTTAGGCACTCAAACATTTTGGCCGTAGACCTTTGACATTCCAACAGGACTCAGCACCATCGCACTCAGCTCGCGTCACCCAAAAATTGTTACAAAATGAGGTTCCTCGCTTTATTTCCAGCGCACAATGGCCACCAAAATCTCCGGATACCGATCCATTGGACTATTGTGTCTGGAGTATTTTGGAAAGCAGGGCTGGCAATGAAAAATACCAAAATACCACCTCAAGCAAGAACTTACACCGCAACAGAAAGAAAATAGACTCAAAAGAGCTAAAGAGTTGTTTCGCTTGGCCGAAAGTGGTGAACTGCCGAATTTAGTTTTCTCCGATGAGAAAACATTCGTTGTCCAGCAGTTTGATGTTGTTTCCGAAATGTTTTGCTTTCATTCAACAAAATTTAAAAAAAAAAAATTAAAAATTATGGCGTTTGGCTTTGTTGCAGTTTTTATACCCTCCACCATACTATGGAGGGTATATTAACTTTGTCATACCGTTTGTAACTCCTCGAAATACTCATGTCAGACCCAACAAAGTATATATATTCTTGATCAGCGTAAAATTCTAAGTCGATTTAGCGATGTCCGTCTGTCTGCCTGTCCGTCTGTTGTAATCACGCGATCTGTCGAACGAATAGAGATAGAAGGCTAAAATTTTGCATACATGTTTATTTTTCCAGTAGGCAGGTTAAGTTCGTAAATGGGCTATGTAGGTCCACGTCTTCGTATAGCCCCCATATAACGGTACCTAACGATATTCGGTATTTTTATGATTTTAGCGACAGTATTCACCGGAATCGCTTCAAATTTGGTATATGAAGTTCGAAAGGGATTCTACAGCCTAAGACAGAAAATTGTATGTGCAGGTCCACGTCTTCATATAGCCCCCATATAACGGTACCTCCTGATATTCGGTATTTTGATGATTTTAGCAACATTATTCACCGGAATTGTTTCAAATTACGTATTTAGAATTCGTAATGGGGTCCACAGTCTGTGACAGAAAATTTTCTATGCAGGTCCAGGTCTTCGTTTAGGCCCCATATATCAGTACCTCCCTAAATTCGGTATTTTGACGTGTTTAGGTACAATACCCACCGAAATCGTTTGAGATGTCGTATTTGAACTTCGTAATGGATGCTACAGCCTATGACAAAAAATTGTCTATGCTGGGCCAGGTCTTCGCACAGCTCCGATATAACGGTACCTCCTTATATACGATATTTTGATGATTTTAGCTACATTAATCACCGTTTATTTCAGGTTTTCGAATTTGAATATGGTAATGGCTTATGACAAGCAATGCCTATGTAGGTCCACGTCGTATAGACCCCAACAAAATGGCAATATTCGGTATTTTTAAAATTTAAACAGAATTTTTAAGGGATTTTTTTTTGAAAATTTCCAAATTCGTTCCAAATGGTGGAGGGTATTCAAAGTTCGGCCCGGCCGAACTTACTGCTTTTTAACTTGTTTTTATCTAAAATGATCCAAACAGCGAATATCCGGGGGTACAGTTGTATTGGGGCTATACGTAAGTGTAACTAAGTGTATTAAATGTACCAAAAGGTACTATAAATTGTATATCCATTGTATTGAACGGAAATTATTAAATTCGGTTAGGAGAACTGGAAATATGAATGTTTGTATTAGGATCACTGTGTCTTTGAAGCTTTTATACAAGTAGGTGGATTTGCAAATGCAACCTATAATATGTACGAAAAGTACTATATAGTACTCAATTTGTGGTTTTGAAAATATGTACTATAATTGTACGAAAAGTACTAAATGATACACAATTTTGTATTAGATAAAGGGATAGAGGTGACATTTGATATTGAGTTCACTGATGGTTTCTAAAATTTACATATGGAGCCGTTGAAATAGTTTTGCACTGCAATATATATGAGGGTCCATTGTGCAATGGTTTTACTTTTACCCTCCTCAGTAGATTTCAAAATTAAAGTTTTGAAGGCTTTTTGGTGTGAAGGGTAAACATTTTTCTATTATTTTTTCCTAAAGTACGATGTATGAAGTTTTGATAACATTTTTTTGGTCAAACTGTTATATGGGGGCTATACGAAGTCGTGGTCCTTCATAAGTAATTTTTGTCATAGGCTGTAGTACCGATTTCGAACTTCAAATACAAATCTGAAACAGTTTCGCTAATAATGTCGCTTAAATCATCAAAATACCGAATATAGTTTACCTGCATACACGATTTTTTCAAAAGCTGTAGTCCCATTGAAATCTTCAAATACGAGGACTTTTCGCAGACGAAGTACAGAGCACTAGCTAGTCGCTAGGTCTAAACCTGTACTTAAACTAATAAAACAATAAAATAAATTTATGTAGTTGTGCCCAAAGACAAAAGAACGACTGCTTATCTTGAGTGCGTCGTTGCGTTATATCTATGTACAATTAACTTCGGTATATATGTTTTATCTGAAATTATATTAAGTACCAGCTGAAACTTTAACTCTGTGTACAAAAATTTCCCGCCGAAAATTTCATCTCATCCATATTAAAAATTTGAAATATCTTCTAAATATAGCATACATCAACATTGTGTTATTGTTGAGTTGGAACATTCTCTAAAATAAAGGAGCTACAAGCAAGTGAACATATGCATGTCCATGTGTTATAAATAGAACTGATCTGTGTGTGTGAGGTTACCTCCATCTATTGGATATTTTTAAGATGCGGCAAATGTAGAGTGTGGCCACACCTAACGTAAAATGCTGTGCGAGGAATTCAAAACACATTAGATTTATCGTCAAACATATAAGAAATGAAGTGTTTTGGAAGATGATTGAACTCATTTAGATACATGTTTTAGAAATAACATTAACGAAGAATAACAATTTTAATTAAAAAAACAAGTAAGAAAAGTTATTGCCGTGTGGGGCCGACTATGTTATACCCTACAACACTGCAATATGTTAGAAGCCCCCTTATGTCCAAATCCATATTGGAAGATTTCGCTTTTGAAATTAGGATTTTGACTAGAGACATTTGCCCAACATTTATGCACTCCGTCGGGCTGTTAGTTGTAGTCCATTTTACAGATAAATATAATCCCATGGTCATCCAAAATGCTAGAATTCTTCCCTGTCCTTAACTCTCTTCCCAGGCGTGTCGATTGGCTTCAATTGTGTGATCGGAAAAACATTTCTGTTCTTGGTTAATTTGAACCCCTAAATATTTTGCAATCGTCTCCAAAAGCAAGAAGCCCCTCTGTATCTCCAAATTAAGACTCATCTATATGATTTGCAACGAAATCAGCATAAAAAACCCATTGTACCCGCTGTCCTAACTCTAACTTTATGCGAGATTTCGTGTCCTTTGGTTTCTATTTGTGACCTTTATAACGGATGCAAAATCAAAAAAATTTTTAGTTGTTGGTCCATTTCAACCCCCTAATATATTGCAGACATCTCAGAAAACAATAGGCCTAGCCCTTCTGAGCCCAACCCTACCCTTGGGAAAATTTTCGTGAGGATCGGACGATATTTGCAATACTTTTATAATATACCCAACCTGTGTTTTAAGGTGAAAAAATATTACAAAATATTATAAGTCAAATTGAAAAAATCACATGCGATAAAAAATATGAAAAAATAAAAAAATGTCACAAAATACTACAAAATCTATATTAACATCTTTATTGGCATATTTTTCTGCGATTTTTTTAGATTTTATACTTTTATGTCAAGAGGGCATTCTGAATTGACAAAATTTGTCAAAATCGGTCCAGCCATTCTTGAAATATAAGCATTCGAACTAACATCCCCTTCCTTTGTATATACACATTGTATGTATTTCGCTGTATATAACCGGTATATTGAGGCATCTACGTAACGGTCAGAATTGTTCGTCTATTTGTGATTTCGCCGGGATTAAAAATATTACCGGTTTAATAGAAAATTTGACTTTTATACATAGC